TATGATGTCACTTGTTTGATACATGATATAATTTCAGATAGAGGTTACTGTAATGAAAAAAAAAAAATAAAGGAGTTCTGTGGTAGCTTGAAGAATGACGAAGGTAGAAAAGGTTGTTGGAGGGCAGGAGGCTGTTTGAGCAACGTTGACCAGAACAAGCTTCCCTGAGGATATAAAATTTCCCTGGAAATTTGTGGACTTGAGAGAGCAAGCCATGCAAACCCATCTTCAAAGCAGAAGGGAGAAAAAGTAGAACGCTCTGGGGTGGGAGCATGCTTGACATTTTAAAATTAAAACAAGATAGCTGCGGTGGCTAGAGTGCAGTGACCAACCGACCGCTAGGAGGGGGTGCGTAGGAACATGCAAGATGACGTAAAATGATATAAGACCTTGGAAAATGTTTTAAGGAATTTCAGTTTTATTCTGAAGATAAATGTTTAGAGCAATAAAACAACATGAACAAATTTATAATTTTAAAGAAAATTATAATATTTGAATGAGACTGTAGAGAGGAAACCAATTCAGAGGCTATGACAGTGACGCAGGTGAAAGAAGATGGTGGCTTGGGCCAGGGTAGCAGCAATGAAAGTGATGAGTAGGTATTTCTTATTGGATGTTTTGAAGGCATACATGAAAGCCTTATCAGATTGCATGAGGGGTGTAAACAATAGAGGATCCAAGGATAATTCTTAGTGGGTGTGTGTGTGTGTGTGTGTGTGTGTGTGTGTGTGTGTGCTTGGCCTTGAATGCCTGGTTGAAAGGTTACCATATATAGAGGTGGAAATATTGGAGATCAGTAAGTTAGGGAGAAAAGTTGACAATCAGCTGTGCACATATGGTATTTAAAGACACGTGATTCAGTAGGATCTTCTAGGGTGTGAATGTGAAAGGAGAGACTAAAAAGTTCAAACTCAATCTCTGTAACTGATCTCCTACATTTAGAGTTTGGAAAGGGGGAAAAGATTCAGGAAGGAGGTTGAGATAGAGTATCCTGAGATTAACAACCAAGCAGGGAGTTTGCTGTTCTGAAATTCAAGTGCCCAACGTGTATCAAGGAGCAGAGTAATAAGCTGTGTTAAAATCTGCTCTTGGGTCAATCTAAAAGTGAAACTCAGCCACTTGATCTAGCTACCTGGAAGTCATCAGTAATGTTCAAACACCTCTGTCTGTGAAATACTGGTGACGAAAACCTGAACAGAGAAAGTCAGGTGAGAGAAGGAGGCAAGAAAGTAGAAACAACTCAGTAGCTCTTTCACAATGTCTGCTATAAATTCAGAGTAGAAAATAGGATGGAACTTCAGTTTTTGAGTCCCTTCATTCTACAGACCAATTTGATCTAATATTAGAGAGTCTTTCTCCTCCTCCTCCTTTTTCCACTCCCCTCCTCTTCCCCTTTTTCCTCTTTCTTCTTTATGTAGAAAATTAAGGTTAAATTCTCAGCCCAAGGCCATAAGATGGGTAACTGGTAAAACAAGGTGCAAAGCCCGATTATCAAATTCTATTTCATTTCCACTACAATAATGCAGGAAACCTACATTTTTCTTATAGGAATATGCTTACAGGAAGAGAGACTAAGGGTGATATCCTTTCCATGTATCACTTCATATTTTCTCCATTCTCCTATTCATCCTCATATCTCGTTCACCCAGAGGCTTAATGTCCACCTATGGACTGATTGACCTGAGGTGATGAAGCAGGTTCGGGTGAATACTTTTGGTTTTAAAAAATTATGTTAATGTAATTATGTTAGTTTTCCCACCTTTCTTCTATCTCCCCCTGTCCTCTCCTCCCTCTCATATAGTGTAGTCATTTGTCTGAAAACCTTTTCTCCTTAATCTTCCACTTTGTGTTTGAGAGCTGGTGCCTGCAGAGTTCGCAGGTAAAAGCTTAGCCTTTTGGGAGCCATGGATCCCCAAATAAGGTGCTCACTGGCGAACTGTACCATAATGGTTCCTCACAGCACACCACGCCAGCAACTCAGGGATCAACTACTCCCTGAACAGCAGTATTATCTGACGTGACGAATCATTATAGTTTCATTACAGCCTTTTGAGTCAATGATGTGGGAAGAATGGGCTATCATTTTTAGCCCTTCGGGAAAAGAGCTATTTTGCTTCCCCAATGGTGCCTCCTTCCATTTCATCCATGTCCACTATTTTTGACTTTCTCCCTCAGGCCCTAGTACCTCTACTGTGCTATAACCCCCAAGAAACCACATGTGTTTGATTATTTATTAGTGACATTGCTATTGGCTTAGTGTCTTCCAGTACATTGGCTTTGCATCTTCCAGTACATTTGCTGTCCACTATTTTTGACTTTCTCCCTCAGGCCCTGGTACCTGTACTGTGCTATAACCCCCAAGAAACCACATGTGCTTGATTATTTATTAGTGACATTGCTATTGGCTTAGCATCTTCCAGTACATTTTGCTGTGAGGAAAAGAGCACTAAGCTGAAAAACCAGAATAGATGTCAGTCAGTGGGAGTCTGGTAATGAAATTTATTTGTAATTTTAGAACAGTGAGTATTTCATGTTGATTGATGGGTTGGTTGGTTGATAGATGTAGACATAGATACAGATAGGCACAAAGACACACATACATGCATATGCACAAACACATATACATATATGTATTGTCTATCTATTTATCTATCTATCTATCAATCATCTATCTACCTACCTACAATTTGCATCCTCAGAATCTTAGTAGAGGGATGTTTGCTAGGAGAATGCATTCAGTCTAATGCTTCTTTATCTGAAAGTTTTAATCACATTAGTGTCCCTGCCCACTCCACAGTGTTAGTGTGAGACTTGACAAAGTCATTTGAGAATACTATATATAGAAGTCCATGTGTGTACCTCATCAGTTTATTCATTTAAACTATAGAGATTCAATAGAAATTTCTTCAACAGACATTTCTGATCATCTGTTATCTGCCTGGAAATATACAGGACTCTAGAGATAAGGACTCACACGCTCAAGACCCTCAAAGTCTGAGTGGCGAGTATAAGATTTCTTCTATTGGGCATGGAGTTAATTTTGGTTAATCTCCAGATTGAGAGTAAATTCAACTGGAAGACCCAGAGATTCTAGTGATAGACTTTTACTTGCAATAAAAAGGATATTTGGTAGTTTTGGGCAGCCTTTGAAATGCAGTTGGGTTCATATTTGAATCTCATCAAATAAATATTCATTTAAGTTTCTTCTACTAAGAGTAAAAATAGCAACTCTTCATAGTTGTAGAGTGCTTTAATCTAGTGCTTTCACATAATAAGTTTATCTGATGTTCATGGTGATCCTGAAATTTTGTTATCCTACTTTTACATATGAGGAAGTGATCTCAGAATCACGAAGAATCTTGCATAAGGAGGTTAAGTTGATAGTGAAGTTGGAATTGGGTCTGGGGTGTCCTATGCTATCCTGGACATTGATCTTGTACCTACTAGACCTTAGAAGAGCCAGAAGGTCCCGGGAAGTTGGGTGGCTGGGTGAGAAGGGACACTCATGGGGCTTGAGAAAGTGGCTATTTACTAAACATAACTGAATTATTTTAATAGCTTAACAAATTATGTAACCATACCAGAGAGAACTGTCTTATCTCTTTCTAAGTCAATTATTAAAAACACAAAAATCTCAAGAGTAAAAGCAGATAATAAATATGTCTCCATGTGTATTTTATCACAATCTTAGTACATTTCTAGGATCAAGCAAATTTTGGAAACAGTAGCATTGATTCAGTGTGGGTTCCGGGATTAGATTGCCTGTTTAAATTCTACTCAGGTTACCTAAGGAAAATCATTTAACCTTGTTAGTTCTCATTTTATTTATTCGTGAATTTGGAGTAATTAAAGTGACTATCTTATAGGGTTCAAAAGATCAAGGTTAACCAATCTATGTAAAATTCTAAGCACAGTCCCTACTGGATCCCTGTGAACAGCCAGTAAATGTTGGCTATAAAAATATAATGTTAGCTGTATAAATGTCTGTCTTCTAATGCAGCTTTCATCCACATTTATAGAGTGTCTTTGAAGTTACATTTCTCACGTGAAGATGACTCACTGCCCTTTAGTTACTGGGACATGTTACGTGACTTGTTCACCAATGGTAAAACGTAAGAATTTGGAGTAGCTGTTGTTAAGCTAGTTGGAGAATCTGGAAAGAAGGTTTATTATTGTCCTCCACTCAGAAAAAGTACATATCAGCCAGCAAATAAAGTCCTTTATATAATTTTGAGAGGTTCACAACTTCCTGAGTCTGATTTATTAGATTGGAAAGATATTTTAGCTGCCAACTCATCTCCCATACAATTCTAAAGATGAGCAATGTAAAAGCTAAGACTATTGGGACATGTCTCAGTTTGGGATCTGTGGTCAGTGGAATAGTGGTTTCTCCAACAGTGTCCATGTTCTAGTGTTTTTGGGACCTGTGAGTGTGTTACCTTGTCTGGCAAAAGGGATATTGCAAATGTGATTGAATTAAGAACCTTGAGATGGGAGATTATCCTGGGGAGTGTGATTTACAGCTACAGTAATTTTCCTTCTGTGTTGTTGGAATCCATCTTCCATAATGATTTAGAAACCACTCTCCTAGGGTCTCAACCCCTAATCCTCCTGTCAGAGAAGAAACTTTAAAGAGGGGGATTAATGGAATAAACTACAACCACACTCCTCCATTAAGTCTCAGGCCTCGGTAGGTATTGTCATTCCCTTCCATCAATTCTAGCCTCCTCTCTCAGCGAGCACCTTTGCTGACCTACATAGCTAGTAGCATGATCCGTATTGTCAAAACTGAGGAGTCTAAGCTCCTGGTCCTCCTGTCCTTTGTAGAGTGAGGTTTCTATCCCTATCTGTTTACAGTCACTGTGCAGTCAACTGATCAGGATATTACAAAGAGGCACCGAAGTAGATTGCCTGCATTCTACACGTATTCTTTTATACCCCATCTCATGTAATGGTAGCCCTAACTCCTTCTGATAACAAGAGTCAATTATTGCTGGTAAATGGTGACTCCTCTACTTGCCTGCACATCCTTGGGAAAAGGAGTGAAGTAACCAGGTGGCAGCCACAGCTTTTAATTCAGTGTGACTCAAGAGGGGGCCCTCGTGTATGCTCTCTTTCAGATCCAGGACCTCCAACTCAATAGTCTGGAACTGCAGGAAGGAGAAGCACAGATTTCCCCAGGAGTCACTAGAGGTCATGGTAAGTGAGGCCACACCTGCTTCCATCACTTGGTTCCTGAACCCGTGTATCCTTCCTACGGAATACACAGCACAATATAAAGGCCTCGGATGCATCCTGGATGATTGCATTCCATCTTCACAGGGTATCACCTATGAGCTGATGTCTCAACTGTGTCTTCAGCAAGCAAGCTGTTCCAGAAATGCATCAGGCCAGCAACTTCCTGGTAATGTATTATGTAATATCAAACTGGATCTATTGATCATCACTTCATTCCTAAACCTCCTTTGTTGAAATGTTGATTCTCTTGCTCTGACTTTATAAGAAATCCCGTGCTAGTGGATGGAACACTCAAAACAACCTTGGATTATGATACAGTCTGAGCCCTATGGGCAGGAATGACAAATCTATAAACAGAATACATTCTATTTCTTTGTGAATGAACCACTGGGTCTTTCTAGGATGGACCAATAAACTGAACTTAACATCAAGTAATTGTTTAGGTTTTACGAGGAATGGTGCCACATAGGGGGCTCACCCTTGCTCTCTGTTGTAGGTTGGACATTTGGCAGTGGAGGTAGCCACATCAGCCTTGGGAATGGAAAACCTATGCTATTGGGGCAATGCATAGCTTCTATTTGTGCCACTGTGGGTATTTATTGTATTGTGCCATCCTAGAAAGACCAGTGGTTAATTCACTGGCATGGTTACTGACTGAGACTGGCTGTTGCCAACTGTCCAAATTATTTTGTCTACCAACTTAGTACCCTAACTATGGTGGATGCTTTCTGAAGGTAGATACTAAGATACAATGCAATGATTTCCATAATTTATGAACACACTATATATCTCTTATAAGTATTTACCATAACTTTTTGTCTCTCATCTTGCAATTGTTTCCATCCAAGTCCTTGACCAGGTTCCCAAGTCATTCACCAATGCCAATAAATCCATACATATTCCAATCTTGGAACAGTTCTTATTACAATGAAAGTGAATGACATGGTGTAATGCCTAAAGATCTACCCATTGGGAAGACTTTTCATTATCACTGTTTTACAAGACCACCTCTGAGTGAGGCTGTAATGCAGCCAGGTTCCATTTTTGGCTTATAGCCATGTACTGAGCTGTACATCTGTTAACCAAGCTCAAGTTTTTCCTTTCTCCATTCATAGGTCACTTAGGAACATTCTGATTCCTTGTTCCCTCCATTTTGTAAAATCATCCCAGCGGGTTTGAATCAATTTTAGTAATCCTTTCAAATAACCAAGTTAGAACCATTGACTTTTTTTCTGTTTTGATCTAATTTTTATTTTATTAACTTTCATTCATTTCTATTCTTATGATCTATTTTGTTTTTAATTTGCTTTTTTTGTATATACCTTAGGTTATTATATTAGATCACTTCACTACCTTTAACTTTTCTTCTTTTATACTGTAGGCATTCAAAGTTATAAATACTTCTTAAAAATACTTATTTAGCAAAATCCTACAAGTTCTGATATTGTTACTATTTTTATCTTAAGTGGTCTATCATTTATTAAAAGAGGGTTGTTAATTAATATAGCCATACCATCTATTTCACTCTTAATATTTTTGCTATATATTTTTCCATTTTTAAAATTATCAACCTATCTTTATATTTAACAATTAGTTTTTGTTAACAACCTATTACTGAATCTTGCTTTGTATCTAATTTTACAACTTCTGCCTTTTAATTGGAATATTTTAGTTTCTTTAATTTTTAATATAGATATTGATGTGTTTAAGCTTAATTCCACAGTAATTGCTACTTGTTTTACATTTTTTCCATTTGTGTTTGTTTCTTTGCTTCTCCATTACTTTCTTCTGTTTTTGAATTGTTTGTTAATATTTCATTTTATTTCATTGACTTATTAGTTATTCCTTTTGTGTTTTGTAATATTTGCTCCAGATGTTATAACATGTGTGTTAAACTTATACTCTTCCTTCAAGTAAAATTATGCTACCTAATGAAAAATGAAAGTTAATACGCTAGTACATTTCTATTTTACTTCTTCTACTCAGTCAGAACAAAGGTGAGGCATATGAGAGACCTCGTTTATAAACATGACCCTGAGGATGAGAGTTTCCTAAAATCATGTGCTCTAGGCACCTAGCCCACCTCATCCTAGATTGTACTCCCTCTCTCTTCCTGCCATGTTTTGCCATTATTGTCAAATATTTTATTTCTACATATACTATGGACTCACAATAATTGTTTTTCTTGCAAGATTTAATAGTCAACCTCCAAAGTAATTTTTTAAGTGTGTGTGTGTGTGTGTGTGTATAATAAAAAGGTATATTGACCCTTTTGGTATTTTTTTACTTCTTCCTATTGATCTGGCCTTCATATGGCATTATTTTTCTCTATAACAAATAATTTCCTCTTATCATTATTATATTTCAGATCAACTGTAGCCACATTTTCTCACATTCTATGTAACTGAAAATGTCTTTATTTTGCATTCCTTTTTGAGGAATTATTTTTGTATATGCATTATTCTAGGTTGATTTTTTTTCTTTCAACACTTTAAAGATGTTGTAGTTTGACTACTTTATATATAATTCAGTTTGTATTAATTTTGCTTGTGATTTGCTTCTCTTCTTGATTCTGAAATTTTATGTGTTCCAAAAATTTTGGAAAAGTATTGGAAACTTCTTGGTTCTCTCTCTTCTCTTCTTCTGGTACCCCAATTACATGACTTATATTATTAGAATTGTTCTGAAGTCTTGGGTGCTGGAGCTGTTTTTATTCTATCTTTTATCTCTCTTTGTACTTTAGGTTGGGTAATGCCTACTAGCCTGACTTCAAGTTCAGTGACCCTTTCCTCTTCTGTGTCCAAAATGCTTTGAAATCTGAGAAATGACATTTTAAAAAATTTCTAACAGTTTGTTTTCTCTTTTTATTAGTTTAATCTCTCTTTTGATATTCTCTTTGGAAATTTATCTGCTCACACATGCCAACTTTTCTCATTAGATTTTTAAATACATTTTTTATACTTATTTTAAAGTCACAATGTGGTAATTCCAACTTCTCTGCCAACATTGGGCCTACTTCTATTGACTAATTTATCTCTTGGCCATGAGTTGCTGTTTCCTACCTTTTTCATATGTTCTTAATTTTAAATCAAGTGCCAGATATCCTGTGTAAGATATAGTTGAGAGTAGATAATATTTACCTCGTCAAAAAGGGAATTTCCTTAGTTTCATCAGACTGCTGCTAAGGTGATTTGAGTTAAACTCTTCTGTAATTGAACTGAGTCAGGCCACTGTGTGGAGAGTGGATTAAGGATTGCAGAGTCACAGGGTGGCAGCAGGCAGGCCATGGGGAAGATTTTACCATTCTCCAGAAGAAAGAGAATGGTGGCTAACACTAAGGTGTTAGAAGTATACAGGAAAGTGTTCAAATTTGTGACTAATTTCAGACTTGCGTGAGTGTGAGGCAGAAATGAGAGGACACTATAAATGAAATCTGCCATGCTTTGGGATAAAATAGATGTGCAGAGTGAAGAGGATGGAAGGATTGAGGAAGGATAACCACAGACTTCACCAGCTGGCTCTGCCTTTTCAGGGCAGGTTGCGCATCTCATGTCCTGTACAGGATTAAACACAAGAGTTGGCACATACAGGTAGTAGGTGTACAACAAATGCTTACTGGATAGCACAAATTCAGCCTAATTTGAAATGTCTTTCAAAGTCTGTCCTAATATCCCCTGAGCTCTCTTTGGCTGGCCACATTTACCAGTAAATTGCTGTAAATAAAAGATGCAAAATTATTTCAGGGGCAGCAGACACAATCAAGGTCCTGATTTTAATATCCTGTCAAGGAAACTGCCTCCAAGTAAAACTCTATGGCTTGTTTTACTTAATTCTGTTAGAAGAAAAGCTTTGCTGACCTTGATGAATCTTCACTTATAGTTCTGGGACATCTGAATATTTCAAGCCCCTGGTGCACACTATAATCCTGCCCAGTAAGTAGCAAATAGGCCTCAGTATTTTCTTTGTTCAAACTGCATTATACATTTCTGGACTTGCAGATCATAACTCTGCAATCACTTGTTACCTATGCATGACAGTCAGGGAGATTAGCACAGAAAGGAACCGACAAAAATGCTTTCCGAGAAAGAAATTCATTCTCAGCAACACAGAGGGTATCTAGGCAGTGATTTTCAGTGTCCAAAGATGAGAGAGGCAGGTGAAAACTGGATTGGGTGGGCAGGATCTGCTATTATTGAGCTGCTTTAAATTAAGCCCTTATATTCTTCCAACTACAAGCATGTTAGTCTGTTTTCACCCTGCTATGAAGAACTGCCTGAGACTGGATAATTTATAAAGAAAAGAGGTTTAATTGACTCACAGTTCAGCATGGCTGGGGAGGCCTCAGGAAACTTTCGCTTATGGTGGAATGCGAAGGGCATGCAAGGCACCTTCTTCACAAGACAGCAGGAAGGAGAAGTGCTGAGTGAAGGGGGAGGAGTACTTTATAAAACCATCAGATCTCATGGGAACTCACTCACAGTCACCAGAACAGCATGACAGTAACTGCCCCCATGATTCATTTACCTCCACATGGTCTCTCCTTTGACATGTAGGGATTATGAGGATTATGGGGATTACAACTCAAGATGACTTTGGGTGGGGATACAAAGCATAACCATATCAACTGGGTGTTTTTCTTGGGTTTTTGCCTGACTACTGACTCCTTTTGGGGATGGCTCTCTGTGAATTCCTCAGACCACACACTGTTTTATCCGAATCTTTGTTTCCAAGTATTATGAAGTTACCTAAGGAGGTGTTGTTACGGGGCTCAGGGCATAGCTCTTTTAAGACCAGCAAAGGCACACTCTAAAGGAACTGCCATCTCTCTTACAAGTAAAAACCAGCATCCTCAGGTTGTCCCTGAAAGACATCATGATTTGAGGGATCTATCTTCTTACTATCTCCATCTCTGCACTGCCTTTGGCGGGTGGTGGGAGATGGGGAGGGGGATGTTGCTTCTTTGATTCTCTGGACCAAGGATGGTCATTAATATATTCTATGTAATCATTTATACATGGAAACCAGGCTGAGACGTTAAATTAGAGATAGTGAAGCCTTTGTGTTAACCAAAATACCAATGCATCAAGTCATACACAATTCCACAATGTGTTTTCAAGGTATGGCTTGCTTTCTAAGGCTTAGGGGCTAGACTTTTCTTCACATTAA